AATGGCCGATTACCTGCACTACTTGATATCTGGGAGAAGTGGGCATGAGAGTATGGAACAAAGTTTATCATACTTTTCTTTTTTTTTTTTTTGTCTTTTTTCCATGTCCGGCAACGGATCGCAACCCTCAGTGTTGCCCCCGTACTGGACCGGGGACCGGCAACGGGATTGCAACCCTCGGCGTTGCTCCCGCGCCTCGCTCAACCAGTGAGCGAACTGGAACCGGTCTGTATGTGGGATCCGAACCCTCGGGCGGGAGCGCCGCCGCGCTTCCCAATCCACCAGGCCGGCCCTACAGCAGGATTTTAAAAACATACATATACAAAGGACCTAGAATAACCAAGACCTAGGGGTTGGGAAACTTTTTCTATAAAGGGCCAAATAGTAAATACTTTAGAGTTACAGGCCCTACAGTCTTTGTCCTAACCACTGAGTTCTGCTTTCATAACAAAAACACAACCATAGACAGTACATTAAAAAAAGGCATGGCTGTGCTGTAATAAAATTTTATTTACCAAAACAGGCAGTGGGCCAAATTTGCCCTGTGGACCAGAGTTTGCTGACTTCTGGCCAAGATAATCACAAAGAAGAAAAAGAAAAAGACATCAAGAAGAAAAAGATGTCAAGACTTATTAAGACTAACTATAAAGCTAAATATAACATACGATTAAAGTGGGCTTTGGTTACAGCCAGACTTGAATTTATGTGATATAACCTCTATTAATGTCAATTTCTAAAGTGCAAAGACTGTAATAGTAAAAAAATGTAAGTTTCCTTTCCCTTAAGTGGTTAATATCAACCAAGAGAAAGTTCTAATGGGGAGTTCTGCCCATGGTCCTGTCTTATTCAGTATTTTTAGTAAAGACCCAAGTGAAATTATAACACCTGCTTATATTGACTCAAACCTGAGATGAATGTCTAATATATTAAGTGAAGAAAATGGGGTTTATGGAAATTTTGATAAGAATGAAGGAATCAAGTAAAACCAACGAAAAATAAGTTGAATGTTGGGAGATAGTATAATAATGGTGGATAAATTGTGAAGTACAATTTAGGTTCAGAGATTTAAAAAGGTGGTATGTACCAAACAGCTGAAAAGTCCAACAACAGCAAAATAGTTAAATAAATTACACAACAGAATATTGAGTCTCTGAAGACGGGCCTGAGGTTCTGCATTTCTAATATTACCCAGGTGTTGCTGATGCTGCTTGTACATGGACCACACTTCTAAGTTGCAAGGTTTTAAAACAAATAATGGTGTTGTCAGATGTGTTTAGTTCAATTGCATATGTGTAAGGGGTTATTTCCAAGCAGCAATATTCTCTACGGTAATTATCTCCTAGGAAACATTTTTGCTAGAAACCCTGAAGGACTGGCCATTAAAACACAGATATACTGTTGAATACTTTTCATTACAGTGAAAATAACAGCTTTCAGAATTAAGTTCTGGAGAGAACTGGTCCCTACCATTACCCCCATCTTCACGTGTGTGTGTGTGTGTGTGTACACATGCACTTGTTTTTAAACCACTGCATAAAAGAGATCAGAAGCTCTGGATGTGTCTATGTAGAGTACTTTTCATAGCAAAGTCAGCACCTTCTAGAGGTAGCTCAATACTCGGTGGTTCTCAAACAGGTATCTTATCAATTATAGTGCAATCAGGACAGCATTTGATACCCAGTCTCTTGGTATCTTCTCTGCATAAGAGGGTATAGAAGAGAAGCACTCACTTGAGTAAGAATGCATATGTTCAGGGACTAGGGTAGGAGAGGACTAGTATTAGTTTTTGTGTATGTTGAAAATATAAAATTTCCTAAGTGCTATAAATACAAAAAACAATGCTGTGCTTCCCACTGTGTATTTTATGAAACATTACTACTGAAAGACATTTCCTGAAACTCCCTAACAAATGAGCTATAGAAGTTTAGCTATATATAGCATTATTTATCACAGCAAATGACTGTTGACCGCTTAAAAATTAATGGAGAATTAGTTACATAAATAATGGAAATTCTTACGGTGCACTAAAATGTAACCATTAGAAGAACAAGGAGAGAATGGACAGGTAGTCATAATGAAGTCTTAAGAAAAACAGCTGTAAAGGTAAAAGCACACTGTGATGCCATTTTTGTTTAAAAAACATATACATTAATATGTACATAAAAAAGATTAAGAAATGCACTAAAATGCTAACAGTGATTGACTCTGTTTGATGGGGGTTATTGATGACTTTTAAATATTTCTCTTTTGGCTTATCTCAATTTTCTATAATATTGCTTCTGTAGTAAAAATACTAGAATAGAAGATAAAACATAATGCAAAATGTCATCATATCCAGTATGACTAGCTATTTTTTACATGTATACAGTGATTATGTGATTAATGCTTAATATTTTATCCTTCACACTCATAGCTAACAAAAGCAGGCTTAAAAATACATGTACCTAGGAGAAAATATAATATAATATTTTTTAACAATTTGGGGAAAGGTGGGATGTCTATGCTTGACACTACTGGCAGAAATTATAATATTCATAATATTGTGAATATTTACAATAATATTCACAATATTATGAATATTTACAATAATATTCACAATAACTGACAAATTTCTTTAATAAAAATATAAAATTTTCCGATGAGAAGAGACACCCAAAGCGAAGTTTATAGACTGTGGTAAGCAGAATTCTAAGATGATACCCAAGATTCTTGCCCCCTGGTATATACACCTTGTGAATATGATGGATTTAATTCTGTGATTAAATTATGCTATATGGCGAAGGTGGGATTTTGCAGCTGTAATCAAGTGCCTAACAGTTGACACTGAGTAAATCTAAAAGAAGATTATCCCAAGTTAGTCCTTGAACAAGGAGCTAGGAATTCCCTGAAGTTAGAGAGATTCAAAGAGAGATTCTGTTGCTGGCCTTGAAGAAGGAAACTTATGTGGTGGAGAAGGTATATGGCAGGAACTGGTGGGCAACCTCTAGGAGCTGCAAATAGTCCCAGGATGACAGCCAGCAAGAAAATGGGACCTCAATCCTACAACTCAAGACACTGAATTCTGCCAAATACCAGTGAGCTAAGAAGATAAGATCACAGTCCTAGCTGACACCTAGATTTTTCAGCCTGGTGGGAGACCCTGAGCAGATGAGGAATCTATCCCGTACCCCAGTTCCTAACTCACAAAAACCATGAGGCAGCATATTTGTATTGTTTTAAGCCAGTAAGTTTGTGGTGATTTTTTATGCAGCAGTAGAAAACTAATACAGTGATAAATGATGAACCAGGAAAATACGAGAAGTCAAAAAGTTTTTGGAGAGGTTGGCCTGTTAGCTCAGTTGGTTAGAGCACAATGTTACAACTCCAAGGTCAAAGGTTTGGATCCCCATACCGGCCAGCCACCAAAAAAAAAGAAAAAAGAAAAAATGTTCATGGAAAGATTTGTATTATCCTTTTAATTCTATTTTTTCCACCAACTTTTTGAAGTACTCTCATGTTTGCCACATATAAAAGTATAATATAACATCAGGGTTGATATTCAAATTATTTAACAACTGGTTCAAAACCAGTGCACAAGTGAAAACAGACACTGGCCACAAACAACCTATACTAATGCATAGACTTGAACATCAACCCTGCCCTTAATAGAGAAAACTCTCCTCCACATTACTAAGAACAAGAAAAACCCATTTGAAAAACAGGAAAAGAACACAATCAATTTACCAAGGAAATTCAAATGGCCAATAAACATATCAAAAGTTAAACACTTCATCACTAATCACAGACATATTAAGACAATGAAGGTCCAATTGTGTCTATAAAAATCACACAGATTAAAAAGTGCAACTTCAGCCCATTATGGCTGGGTGTGAAAAACAGGCAGTAGTTTTCTGGGTTGAGAGAATGTAAATTAGCATGATATTTTAGTGGAAAATGTATCTTATAAAAACAACTTCACAAACATATATGTACAAAGATGCATACTGCATGCTGAATTTTCTTTTATTTATCTATCATAATTTTTAATCTTGATTATGTATTTCCTTGCTGTTAACTCTAAGCTACATGAGATCAGGGACTCATGCCACAATCTTAGGAGTTCACAAAATATTTGTTGAATGAATAAGTGATGTTAACTGCCAGTATTTTTATATTAGCAAACTGTGTGGCTACCACTAAACATAGCAAATTAAGCTTGACTACATACAGTGAAAGACTATGCTCTTAATGTTAAGTTATGAAATGACTTAGAAAAAAATCCAGATATTGTTGAATAAAAGAACAAATTGTAAAATAGTAATACAACATGTTCTAACTCATAAAAGAAAAAAATTGTAAATATGTATGCTCACATATAGAGAAATATGCATAAGGAAATGGATGGTTATATATTAACCAGATTGCTAATGGTGGTTAACCTGTAGAGAGTAGGGCTTTTAATTTGTTTTGTATGCTTCTCTGAATTATCTCTACAGGAGCACTTCTATAAATAACAAAATTAATAAGATTCACTTTAAAGAAAATGTGGAACTTACAAATTTACTTCCTTAGAATCAGAAGTTCAGTAAGAATCTTACTTATTCTTAAACTAGGGGTTCTTAAGCAAGCATCAGTGAATATCTAGGGGCCAAATGGTGGGCTAGAAGAAGCCTGTAGTCTTTTTAGAATTATTTTCGAAATATATTTCAGAGAGATGGTCCACAGTTTCATCAGATTCTCGAAAGGATCTGTAAGTGCATTATCACCATCACTCCCCAAATCCCTTCCTTCTACTTTCACTGGTAATTTATTTTACTTTTAAAGAAACCATGGCAGTAGACTCCTTGACTTTTGCCTACTAACTTTTGAAGGGACAACAGTGAAGCATAAAGCTGATGTGGTTGAATTAATTACTCAATGCTTAAATATAGCACTTCTTTGCCAGAATTATCAGGCATTTAAGGGGATACAAAAAAAGAGACCAATGTTAAGGTCGGTTTCTGTAGAAACTCAGAACTCACCATTTTCTTCATGGCAATAATCAAATCCTGCCACACTACATCTTCGAAAAACCATCTTATTCTCAGTGAGAGTTCCTGTCTTATCGGAAAATAGGTACTGAATCTGTCCAAGATCCTCGGTGATATTCAGGGCTCGGCACTGAACAGTAGAATCCATTTTCTCACTGTAGAAATCCACATCACTTTGAATGAAATATATTTGCCCAAGCTTCACAATTTCAATGGAAACATAGAGAGAAATGGGAATCAGGACCTAAGAAGAACCGTACAATTTTAAAAACTTTAAAATATGTTAAAGAAAGGATGAAAACCAAATATAACTGGGTAAGTAGCAAAGATCTTAAAATTCTATGATAAGCTTGATAGAAATTACCTGTAACAAAATGATCATGGTCCAAAACATATAAAATCCTGCTAACACTGGTGATATAGTACGTCCATCAGGCTCGGGGATATTAAAAAAGTGTATGTTTTCGTATCTGCTCAACCAGATTCCATGACCTTTCAAAAAATTCACAAACGTCAAAAGAATGCTACATGTGTATTATGCAAAAACAGAATGTTATTCCTAAAGAAGGAGGGATGAGAGTATTTATTTTGGTGAAACACCAATTATCTCTTTTTGAAAATATATTCAAATTCAAGAGGCTACACATTCTCCTGTCTCTCTCTCTTTAAATCTCTTCCCAGGTCCCTTCAGTACTGTGGCAAAGTGTAAGTGGATATAGTCAATGTTAATGTTTTTCAGGCCAACGGATAAGAGAGATAAGGACATGAAGAAAAAAAAAAATTGACAAATAAAAGCTCCCTAAAAGCTCTTTAAGTCAAACATTCATAAATATCATTTTGAAAAATGTTAAATTAATATGTTGCTGAAATGTCAGCAAATAATAAAATTTTACCTACCTAATGCACCAGTTAAACACATTATAATCAGAAGCAGTACACACCAGAGGACATCTGTGTTTGCTCTTCTTTCTAATTTACTGCGTTTATACCGTGGTCCACTGTTGTTCAGCATTGCTTTGGTTTCATGGCCTACACAGGAAACGAAATAGGTCAGAATGTACAAATTAAAGCCAGCTTGCAGATATCATATTTAAAAGTCTCTCTGGCAGACAATTTAATAAAATGTAGTTACACAATATATTTTGTTAGTTTCGTGTGCTTTTGTGATCCATTTAGAAAAACAGAGACCAAGATTAAATTTATCAAGGAAAAACTTTCTTTTTGGTTCTGTAGGTTGCATTTTGAGTAAATGAAAAATGTTAACTTGGAGAAAAGCACAGAAGAGACAATGATGAAAATTAGAGGTAAAACCAACCTGCATAAACCACAATGCCCACAACAGCCTCTGTGTTTCTAATGGTGCATCCTCTAAGCAATAAATTTTCTTTACTGAGACCCACACGTTCTTTGTTGGAATGTTCTCTATAAGAAAGACAGCATATAGTTTTATTTTTAAATAGCAAAAGTGGGAATATAAAAATAAAAACCATGGTTCTTTAGTGTTCTTGACTTCGAATAATGTTAGGCAGTTAACAGGAAAGTTCTCAAATCTGGCCCATTTGGTTTCAGTTACCTGCTTTGGCTAGGAAAAAGATGTAACAAGTTTCTAACTACCATTGTTTTCTACTAGTCATTGTTTGTCAACTTCTATTAATACAAAAACTCAAAAATACTATAAATAAGGACCTGCTTTTCTAACACAAACTGTATTTAGGGTAAATTAGTAGTTGATGAGGGAAAATTCTCTATAGAATTAGAAAATTGCCATTTTCAACCTAGATGCAATCAAGAATCATTCCAGGCAATGACAATTCATGGCTGCTAAAATCATTAGGTGAAAGACTGATGGGGAGCTTTTTAATGAAAGGGTAAGGCTAACCCCACCAATCTTACAATAGGACAAAGAGACATCACAGGCCTCCTGATTTATGGAAAAGGAAATCATGACCCTTCAGGCACCTATCAAGACTCTACCAGGGCATTTCAACCTGGGGACTGTGGCTTTAGAGGATCTGTGAAGCCTTTGAAATTGTATGTAATATTTTATACATGTATATATGGATGTGCACATATATGTTTATTATTTTCTAGGAAGAGAATCTATTTCTTTCATCAGATTCTGAAAGTGCTCCTTGACAGTTTACAGACCATAAGAGGGCCAGAGAAGCATGTTAAACATCACCACAAGGAAGCAGTTGGCTAAATCTAAAATGTGATAAATTCTGTAGGCAAAATAACCTGGGTTATTCAACAAATGAATAGCATGGAGGAGGGCGGTACTGAGAGAGGGGCAGCTCAACACAAGGAAGAGGCAATCAGCTCCACCTAGGATGTGGTGAATTCTATAAGCTGATGACATAATTTCTTGGGAGAGAGAATTTAGACACACATCAACCAAATGCAATACAGACCTTTTTTTTTTTCTCTGCTAGAATAAAACAACTACTAAAAAAACTTTTTTGAGATGATTGGAGAAATTTGAACAAAATTTGGTATTAGATGGTATTAAGGAATTGTTCTTAGTTTCGTTAGGTGTGATAATGGTATCTCTGCTAGAATAAAACAACTACTAAAAAAACTTTTTTGAGATGATTGGAGAAATTTGTACAAAATTTGGTATTAGATGGTATTAAGGAATTGTTCTTAGTTTCGTTAGGTGTGATAATGGTGTCATGCTTAGGGATTTTTTAAGTCTTTACCTGCTATAAGTACGTAGCGCAGTATTTACAGTGAAATTATGTAATGTGGGGGTGAGAAAAGAAGTGGGAGGGCAGTTGAAACAAAGTTGGCAAAATTGTGAAATATTTAAGCTGGGTGAAGGCAAATGGGTGTTCATTATACTTTTCTTTCCACTTCTGCATGTTTGAAGTTTTCTGTAATAAACACTTAAAAATTTATCAAAGTAATTATTTGATGAAGTTACTATAGTGGCAAAAATACAGAACAAAATCACTGGAATACTATAGTGGCAAAAATACAAAACAAAATCACTGGAACATCACAGAAAGTAATGTTTTTCATATTTGAAACTGTCTTAATTTCCACATTAAAATTAGGTTGCTGTTTAAGCAATAAACTTCAGTCTATAAGTAGTTGCTTCTTTCTTACACGTATAAAAATTGTCAATATATCTTCTATCTTTGGTATCTGCAATTGAGATTGCAGATGGTATGAAGACAAGAAAATAAAAACTCTTCAAAGAAGATTTCGTACTACAAAGAAAGAGGAAAACAGATTTGTCATTTCATTCCCATAATTTGCAAAGCACTTTCTTCTAACGAGTACATGTTGACATTCCTTCATATATACAGGTTTATGTACAAAGAGATGGTCAGAGCAAGAAGTATCCTTGAGCTTAATCTAATTCAATTTCTTAGCTTTACAGATGAGGAGATTAAGTCCCAGCATTTACACATAGCATTACCAGGCAGGCACCAGCCAATCCTAACAATCCAAATGCCTAACAATGTGGCATTTGTTATTGCTAGAGTCCTTATAGGAACGGATTTAACATATTAAACTATCCAAAATTCCTTAGCAAGTATTGAGATTTTTTTCCCTTGGTATCATTTTTCACAATTACATCACTCTAGGTTACCATCATTAGACCAAAGTCCAACTTCTATTTTGATTGCACTTGCTGCAAACCCTAAACATGTTCTGCACCTGATGGTTGTATATGATATTTGGCATTTAGGGTGTAGAACCTTCAGAGTTTCATATGGAACACTGACTATCACCTACAGTTGTCATCCACCCAAGAATCCATGTAACACCTAACTACTATGTGCCCAGCACTCTCACCCAGATGCTGGAAGTAGAAAAATAAACATTACACAGTCCTGGCTCCTGGGGTCTAAGAGGATATGATTGACATAGAAATATGTAATAGTAATAAAAATATGATAGTTATTATGATAGAAATCTGATATTCAATATACAATGTGGACACAAATAAGGAGGATGACAGTTCTACCTGAGAGTAAGAAAATCAGAGAAAGCATCAAATGGACAGTGAGCTTGAGCAGCTCAATTTTTGTTGATTTTTTTAAAACAGGCCACAAAGCAGGAAAAGTATAAGGAGCTAGTTCAATGGATCAACACAATTCCACAGAAAATCACTGTATCTACCTGGGCTGATTCTCTTATTCAATGTTTCCCTGCTAATTGCTGAGGCTAGGTGCCAATATAGACATCAACACAGCAGACCATGGCCAGTGCAATCACTAGGGAAGGCAGGTTCTGAGGATTCCAGGAAGAAGACCACTTTAGCAGTCAGATCACGCTATTCAGAAAGCAAGGCAGGGCCGACCCCATGGCTCACTCGGGAGAGTGCGGCGCTGGGAGCGCAGCAGTGCTGAGAGTGCCGAGGCCGCTGGTTTGGATCCTATACAGGGATGGCCGGTGCGCTCACTGGCTGAGCGCGGTGCGGATGACACCAAGCCAAGGGTTATGATCACCTTACCGGTCACAAAACAAAACAAAACAAACAAACAAACAAACAAACAAACAGAAAGCGAGGCAGCAAATGTTGAAGCAAACTGACACCAAAGGAGCCCATCACAAATGGTGCCACCAAAAGGCAGGTAAACATGTGCCCAGGAACTCAGAACCAAGTGATAATTTGGACAACAGGATATTTAAAAAAAAAATTACAAAACAAGAAGAATTCAAAATTAAATCCTTGATATTTAAGTGTGTTATCACTTTCACCAATTCTTAAGATAGTACTAAGGCCATAAATTTTATATCATAAATGTCCCAGATGAAGAAAAGTATATGCATAACTGTGGGATTCATAACTAGTATCAGGATGGTCCTAGAGCATTAATAAATATCTGCAGATGATAGGAATTTCTGAATTATTTATTAGAATCTATGCAGTACACTCCAGAAGAGAGCTTCTACTCATACCATAAACACTTATCTATCAATAAAACTGGAAAACTAAAAAAACCTTTGCTGGTGGTCTTTAACCATATAGGTAGTTTCTGAAATTAAATATATATGTGAATACCTGGAGCACATATGCATTTGATTTCAGCCAAACTTTATAAATAAAAATAATTTTATAAATAAAAATGTAAAGATAAGCTGGACCTCAATATCTTACAAAATTCTCTAATGGATTAAGCAGATAATTTTAGAATGCTTTATGAAACCAATGAGCAAGGAAGCAAAATACCTTTATAGAACACAGCTTCAATAAGGTATGGATTCACTAAGACCAAGCCATGTCAACCTTATCTCATTTCTTTTATTTTTATACAGATTTTTGTATACCTTACAAAATGAGGTATACAAAAATGATAATAATAAATGATATTGATATATCAATAAATGATATTGATATTGATATGTCTCATAAAATATTAATATGTACATCACAGCAAACATACGGAAAATGTGAGTTATATGATCCTATGATTTGATTTGCTAATAATTAATACCTATGGAGTTCTTTTGATGTACTAGAATCCATATTATGTATTCTAAATATATTAACTAGTTTCTTCTTTATAACTCCATGAGGTAGGTTCTATAATTAGGCCTAACTAACAGATGAGGAAAGAGTGACATAAAGAGGATCAGGAATTTGCCAAATTCTCAAAGCAAGAAGGTGTTTAGACCAGGATTAAAATCAAGTTCATATGATTCTGGAGCACTCACCCCTAACTGAACACAAAGCATGCTGATTAATCAACTGATATCAGCTTCAAAGTAGGTATTTAGCAGAACAACAGAATTTCAAGTTGTGCAGAGTTTTTACCAATATCTTAGGATACAGGAGTGCTTACTAAGGGACCATGAGTGTGAGCTGAGAGACATTTCAATCACAATGTACCTAAATAAAATCCATAGGTATAAAGATGGGCCCAATGTGACCAGATAAAATTTACTGAAGAGTATTAGTAGACTAAAACATTTTTTGGTTTACAAATATAAAATGAAGGAACCTGACTTAATAGTAGTTCAGGTAAAAAAAAAAAGGACTATTTAATTTTAAGATACTTCATCTCAAGTACCTCTGGAGAAAGGGAAGAAAAACTGATATTTAGGCACATGTTTTATTTTTATTTTTATTTTTATTTTTTTTGAACATGTACCTCCATTTATTTGTTTAAAAATTATACACATGCGTTACTCTTCTGGTAAATTATCTGTATTATGTAACATACACAAATGTAGAAATTGTTAAAACATAAGACAATTCCTTAGGCACATGTTTTAACATAAATTACTTCATTTGAGTCTTACAACAATACTATGAAGGAGATGTCATCACTTCCATTTTAAGATAAAGAAATTGAGAAATAAAGTATTTAATTGACTTGCCTAAAGACACACAATAACTAATGGCAGAGCTGGGATTCATTCAAATTCATGTCAATATAACTTCAAAGTTCTTGCTTCCCTGAGCA